AGTAAATAAAAAAATCGTTATGTATCGCCAATCTCTTTCCTTATCCTTATGCAAAGTCAGCCGTTCCCAAACTGTATTCAACAAATAATCACCAAGTATTTTAGAAGAAATTGTTATGTTGAATTTATAGAATAATGATGCTTTTAACACAACATTTTCATCAATGTTACGATAAATTACGAGAAATCTTCAAATTATACGCTGGCGACCTTGAGATTGTATAATCTCGGCTGCTAATTTCCTTCTGAAAATATTCCAGAAATACATTCCGTTATGATTTCACATTTACTACTGAATGCTCTCCAAACTTGTTTATTATAGCAAATGAAATGAAAGACTTTCAGTTTTGGAATCCTTTCAGGTAATTACGCACTAAACGTTATTATCATTCACAACTTGTTAAAGGATTATTGTAAATGATGTTGCGTACTCCGACCCTGCACTGCTTTAGTCCAAATTGCACAATAGCTTTCCTAACAGTTGAAAAACAACTTCAATTATAAATTTATGATTAAATTTTACGTTTACGTTTTAATGCGATTTTGATAAAAAAGGAAGTATAGCTTATACAACGTTAGGAAGGAAGCTAAATTAATGGGATATCAAATAAGTATTAAAGGATCATTAAAAAACGTTCTTTAATTGAATCAATCGTTTAATGAAAACCCCAACAACGGAATAAACTTTTAAGCGGTTGAAAAATAGGGAGAAAGAAGGAAAGTAGGGAGGGAAATCTCAGGAACTAGAGACTTTAAAAACGATATAACAGATTTTATTCTTTCAATTACAAAATACGCTTTGTAATTGTGTGTGTCTTTTGAGGTGTATTTCGAAAATTTTATGGAGCAATCACAGAAGATTTTCATTAGGTTATCAGTTACACCTGCAAGCAAGGGAATCTCTTCAGTTGAAAACAACTAAGTCAAACTGGGCTGTGAGTATTAAGTTAGAACCAATTTTTAACTTTTTTGTAACTAAATTCACAGGAATGTTCAGTTAGGCAATTTTGAAAGAGACAAGAACGAAAGTTTCCTTTGCATGCTTAAAGTAAGGCCAGATTTCAATATATCATAACATAGTCTGAGAGAAAGCGCGAGTTAACACGTTGGTTATCAAGTTAGTGGCACGGTTCTACTAGAGTTATGAGGTATGGATGTCAAAGGGGTTGAAAACTTGGTAAATCATAGATAGATATACTAAACGTACACATAATCAAATTGCAAAACTTTCGCCTATGGCCATAACATGGTGTAGGTATATACAATTTTGACAAATTCTAGTTTTAGATCAACGGCCCTATACTAATTTTCTGCTCGTTCTCACACTGTCTCCATCATAAGTATTAATAAGTTCGTTTTTCTTCGCCTACCCATAACAATAACGTCGCCGGTGATTAAGCAAGTACATTGACAGTGTTTTTATGACTCGTTGTTGAAATTTGCTTGGCAGTCCTGGATGTCTGTTAGATTGACATGTCCGCTAAAGTCAATGAAAATCAATGATCAAATACCTTTATTTATTGAAATTGAAAATTTCTTGTAAATTTTATTGTTGTAATCTGTCAGAATTGTAGAATAGAGTTTTCTTTGTTAACATTTCAAGATTATCGTGCTAGCATTTCGAAATGGAGTAGGTGAACATTGACCAAAAAGAGATAAAAATGCTTCAGTATAGTCTAACAATTTTTTTGCACATGTTTTACATTGCACGTTCCAAGGTATTTGTTTTATTTATAACACTCCGAGGCATCTCGGATTTTCCTATATCGTTCGCACATGCTTTCTCTGCCTAACACTTTCTTTTGTGGATTGGGTCAATATTTGTTTTCAATTCCAAAACGTTTAGTTTGCGCTTCTTTGTTTTTACATATCGTGAAGTACTAGGTTCTTCCGTGCGATCTAAACCTTTATCTTGAAATAAATCTTTAGATTTCAAAATAATTGATAAACCATTTCTTTACATTGCTCTTGATTCTATAATTAAAATATTTTAGTGATATAGAATATGTTATCGGGATACAGAGCAAAATAAAATACGAATCTTAACTATACGCCATTTTCTATCCCATAGATTTGAATTAAATTTACGTAATACGGTTTTATTAATGGGATTTGGAATACCCTAAATGGTTCGCGGGGTATTTATAAGCCTTTTAGTAATCTTTAATATTCTTTGAAAAAGAACTATGTTTATCAAAAATTTAAACAACTTAACTGCACGATGACAGGATTTAAGTTAAAAAACAAGACTTGGTTAGATTGGTGAATATTCTATCATGGTTTTAATAAGATCTGGAAGATTTTTTCAGTATTTAATTTTGTTCCCAAACCCAAATTGTTAAATTTTCAATTGTAATCTAATAAAAGAATATTAATGTTATTGTATTGAGTCGCGCATCCAATGTTGGAAAAGAAAATAAAAAGTTCTCATCTCCAAATCTGGAAGGGATCAAATAGAAAAACAGACTACCGTGGATTATCTTGTGAGTGACGACGCTACCTTAGAACCCACACTAAGTTTTCCAAGGGCATTCTTTGCTGAAAAAAAAAACTAGAGCAAAATAAGCAAGAACCAGTTAATTGAGCTAATATTTTGTTAATAGTGATAATAATATCTATAAAATGTATAAAGCATCTTGGTAAAAACGTTTGAGAAGCACTGTGCCAACCAATCAAACAGAATTTAAATAAATCGTTTGTGTGAACTTTAGAACGAACAGCTTGCCTTTAAAACATGTTGAATTGGCGCCTAGAACATTTTGTTTTTCATTCACGCTCCAAGGTGATCGTACTCGAGTGTTTATTATGAAACGTATTATAAACTTGTATTTTTAGTTATTGTGCAAGCTATATGGGTTCGTACGGAAAATGAATCAAATAAAAACTTTACATATAAAAATTCGTGTTTTATAAGCTATAATATAATTATAATATACATTCTTTGGTAAGATATTCCATATGGTAAGCGTAATATATGGTTAACCACAAGGTTACGACTCTGATTTTAGCCTAGTCGTAACAAATATTATTGTACTCGCGAGGAATGCAACTGCCAATGTAATTATTTAGACGTTGTGGATAGATGATACAGGTTCAAAAAATAACATGATTATCGGACGTAAAAGATTAAAGCATATTTACATTTTAAAAGTAAACTATACCTACAAAATTAGGTACATTAAATAAAACTCAACCTCGAACTATAATTTAACGCTAATATAATTTGAAATATAACTTTGCACAGTGTTAAAAAGCACTGTATATGAAACAAGCGTACATAAAAATTTGGGGTTGACGTTTTAAACAACATTAACAGAGGTATGCACTTTATGTAATGTCGTTGCAAAACAACTATCGTAAAAAAGTTTGCTATATTTGCTAACTCTAAAATATACGTAACTCGATGTGAACATTTCGAATAAACACACAAAGAATTTACAGCCTAATCAATGAGTAATACAAAAGTTTTCAATCTTCTGTTTAATAAACCAATACTAACAATAAGTCATCCATTCTTAGAAAATTTCTATTTTTACTTTGTTTTATACTTAATCAATAAACCAGCAAAATCGAATTCAAAACCGAAGGTTATTAATAAAGTAAAATGTAAATACACGATTAATAAATATTCTGCATATCATGGTCTCCGTTCAAGTTTAAGGAACATATCTGCAAATTTCATCTTCGAATGCAGCTGTGAGAAGACCTCCAAGACGTGAAGTATTAAAGGGAACAGGTAGATAAGATCTCAAACTTGTTTTCATGAATGAGACCGACTTGGTTCTTGGTTGAGAATTTTATTCAATGCGATCTCTTTTTCGTTCTCGTATATTCGGAGGAAAAGATCGAAACTTGGGCTTCACCCTTGCTCGCTAGCTTGGATTACCACTTTTATGAAAGATGAAAGTTTCGAAACGAATTTTGCGTTTCTCTTTCGTACCCAGAAGGGTCAGATACTAATTATTAGGAAAATGGTAGGGTGCATAACTAAAGCGTTCATCCCGAGGGAGTTTGGGGTCTCCCCCCATATACACACACTCATACAGACACGTCGTATTGTAATTGGAAATGATATTGTGTTCGTCTGCGCCGGAATTAATTTGCGATAATTGGCTTTTCGAACGAGTTTTTCGTAATATGTATAATTGGTTTTGTAACGAGCATAACGAATGTATATTATCTGCATATGCATTTAAGTTAATTTTATTTTACGGCAGGTGGCTTAATTGTCATTTTATGTAAGATATAATAAAAAAAAAAAGATTGAAAAGTAAAAAACTGGAATAATATGTTTATATTAATATAGTATACATAGACTAACGGTATGCGAAGGCTAAATTATGCGCGTGATGTTATGGCAGAATTGATTGGGGAATGTTCAATCTATAGACAATAATGGTTTGTTGCTAAAACAATTATGGAAAGTGATGCGTATATCCACGCACAATCGATACCAAATCACCAAATCACTTAATATACGTAAAATGATTCAATTTCTAGTGAAATATTGAATATCGAACAATCCTGTTTTTATTTTTCCCGGCCATATAGGGTCAATGTACGATAAAGTTTTCGATAACGCACACGGTAAAATAAACATCTCTCGATAGGTATGCGTTGGCACAATACAATGGAGCTAGGTGGTGGTGGTGGTTGACGTCGTCTGGGAAAACTCACGCATCGATTTCATATTTCATTATTGCACCTCGGGCGAGATGATTCGACGCGTCCATTGGGTGGTCTTTTGTAATGATAATGCCGCCGCCGCCAGTCCAGATGCGATGCTGCGTAATGGGAAAAGGAACAAAACGGCCTCCGCCTGTTCCTCTTTGCCGTGAGCTAACTATAAGTTTACTGACCCTACTTCGCAAGCAGAACGCAATAAAAAGAGGTAAGATGCAAAAAGACCCTCACCTGAAGATGGCCGAGGTGAGAAAATTTCAAATTAAGAAATTTTTTATTTCTTAAAATCTTTTTAAGTATTATAGTTTTTGTACTTACTTCTTTCCTGGTATTACGTCTGGCGGGGTGTATCGATAAAAAATCCGTCCGAACGCCACTCACAAACATAGCAAAATACGTTTTAAATAAATCCAAAAAAAAGATCCACACGTCCAGAAAACAAAAGAAAAATTAGAAACAAAACGCGGCGAGGCGTCGCACACTTAGTTCATTTTTGTTTTGATGCGAAAACGATATCGGAATCGGGCTGTCGGTTTTCGTCCCAACATCAACTCTCCGAAGTTGGGTTTCGACTGATCGCAATGCGCTCGGCCGCCGGACGAGTTGCTGTGTGCGCTTTGTCGCCTCCTAGCGAACGGTTTTTGAACCAACGGAGAAAGACTGATAGAGAGAGAACAACTATGAGGACGGACGACTTCGCTGTGGTGCCCTATAGCTTCCCTATTGTAAGGGAAACCGCCCCTGTCTGACGGATTAGCAAACTTGGATTCGAAGAAAATACCCTTTCTAAGGAGGGTGAGAACATTTCCGATAAGATTTCGTGGAAAATATTTAATGTTTTACTAAGATAGTTTACATTTACAACTTTTGTGCCTTAGGATTTTAAACATAAACATCATAATAGGAAACATTTGCTTTTTTAATGAAACTTGGTATGAGTCATCCTTTTACGTAGAATAATAATGCAACACTACTTTTTTTTTGCATAAAAGTGTTTGTGTTTTTTGTAAGTTTTAGACTATGAAACTACAACGAAAGTAATAGTTAATTCTCTCGATAAACCTGCAAAAGACATTTGTTGTGCCCTTCACCAGGAAACGAAAGTTGGATGGAGTAATCCGCCCAACTATCCAAGGTGAAGAAATTCCTTTCTCAAAGGATGTCAAATATCTAGGAGTAATCCTAGACAAAACCTTGTCATGGAATGGACATTTGCAGGGAGTTTTGCACAAAGTTAAATTGGGGTCTTACCCCTGAAAGACTGTACTGGCTTTATGTGACTGTGGTTAGACCTATGATCACCTACGGAGCAGCAACCTGGTATAGGAAAGTCCGACAGACTTCAGTTATCAGTAAACTTTCACGAATTCAACGAGTAGCTGAATTGGCAAACTCTGGTGCGATAAGCACAACGCCAACTCTAGCAATTGACGTTCTGCTTGGCCTATCTCCTCTGCATTTGCATATAAAGAAAGTGGCTAGAGCAACCATTTACAGATATAAGCAATATATTCAAAACTGTTCCGACATGTCCTACCAATGGGCTGCGGAAGACATTATAAGCACTGATACTGTGCTATAATGCCGTCAGATTTGGCGAGATCACTATCCATCCTGTGTATCATTTGCGATCGTCAAATATAGGATTGGACTGTAGGCTGAAGAAAGACTTCGCCGATTCCTTAACTTTAGCATAAAGTATTCCAGCAATAATACTTAGAGTTCCACGTTGAAGTGCAAAAATTCTCTTTGTTTGTAGAGTATGTCCCTAACAATCATGACATACGAGATATGTGATTGAAGCATATTTAAAAATAAACTATTCGGACATAACCATAAGACAACCTCTCCTGCAGCAGAAATAATATCACTAATATCGTCAGCCAAATAAGGTTAATATTTGGAAGATAGCCCACCATTTATGTAAATAAGAAAGAGGATCGGTCCTAATGAATAATCGTAAATTCCTGCCTTGAAAGAAGAAGTGATTCTATTTGACGAAAACTTATAATATACCAATTTAGCACAGAGTGTGTTGAACAAATAACTTTGACAAAATCTTAGTGTAGACTTTCTTTTTGATATAGGGATAATAATAGATCCATTGAATGGCGCAGAAAAAATTGGCCTGAATTGAGTGTTTTCATGTTAATATCGCAAAAGACACGGTATGATCTGGAAGTTTCTAGTTTTAGTTTTGTTTCTAATAACACCAACCATGAAACCTTGCAAATTTATATCACTAAATGTTGCACTCTTTTTGCACTGCTTCACATCGAAGTCTTTTTATGGTGATCTTAATGGTGATCTGAAACTTTAAAAGTTTTGCCAACCCAACCCAATCGAACTCAATCCAACCCAACATAACCCAACCCAACCGAACCCCAAAAAGTTGCATTCTTCTTGCACTGCTTTACTCCGAAGTCTTTTCCTGGTGATTTTAATGGTTGGGTTGGGTTGGGTTGGGCCAAAAATAGGACAATGAAACTTTAAAAGTTTTCTGAAACTGATGCAACCCAACCCAAAAAAACCCAAACAGTTGCATTCTTTTTGCACTGCTTTACTCCGAAGTCTTTTCCTGGTGATTTTAATGGTTGGGTTGGGTTGGGTTGGGCCAAAAATAGGACAATGAAACTTTAAAAGTTTTCTGAAACTGATGCAACCCAACCCAAAAAAACCCAAACAGTTGCATTCTTTTTGCACTGCTTTACTCCGAAGTCTTTTCCTGGTGATTTTAATGGTTGGGTTGGGTTGGAACAAAAATGGAACAGTGAGAAAATTAACTTCATTAGTCCCAAACGGAGTACATATGGTGTGTTTTTCAAATTTAGTGGTGATTGCTTGCACTGAAAAAATGTTACCCTTTCTAAAGAATACTAGATTTCAATGAATACAGTGTCACAGAGCACTTATCAGTATGAACTAAAATATTTAATATTTGTTCTAGCGATTTTGGAACATTCACATTTAAACAGAAAAACCAAATGTACGAAAAACCAAGTGCGCTGTATCTTACTCAGAATTGAATCAACCAAATCTATGCATAATGTCACAAATTGCAACTGCATATCTCGATTTGATATAATCTGGTAAGTTCACTGTAAGTTCTTTCTGTCCCCCAAGATGCCACAACTTTGACTATATTATTTAAGCCAGTTCATTTTCGTAGGTCTTCCATTAATATGTGGTTTACATCCAGTATCTTTTTTTGAGTTACTTTGAGCTTCGTGGCAGTGGCAACCGTTAATCTTAAAGATTCAGAGCCGTATGTTATAACCGGCAGCACGCACTGTTTGAAAGCGTTTCTTTTCAAACATATGAGAATATCGTTCTTGAAAATGTATCTAAAGTTCTCGTAGGTTGCCCATATCGCTCTCGATACACGAACTTTATGGCCAAAATCATAGCTGTCAACCTACTCAACCTCATTATCACCAATGTTGATGTTAGAACTGGGAACAAGATTTGTCCTAAATTTTAATTTCCTCATATTGCTTCCACACGCTTTCTGTAATTCGTTCAAGATCAGTTACATCTCTTCAAGGTTATCAAAAAAAAAAAGAAAACATAACTTAGAGCAAAAAGATGCATCGTCGAAAGAAGAAATCCTCCTTTTTTGAAAAGTTTGTCAATTATATTTTTTAAAAAGAATAGATTCATTAAAATCTCGTATTTTTAGAACAAAAGTGATAAAGAATCTACTTTGATACATTTTTTATTTGGTACCATCACGTTATATCGTTTGTATGCCGTAATGATGACATGAAAATGCAATATTGAATCACATTTGCTTTCATACATACTCGTATAAAGAAAAATGAGTGTGATTCAAAATTACCTGACAAATCTGCATATTTCGAATAAATGAGTAAATTGCTGTGTTGTTCATCAGCTTTACTAAAGTTCATTACTATTTTCTGAGTGTTTCAATATTACAGGTTAATTAATTCTCGTGACGTGAATTACTTTAATAATTATATCAAAATTGTAGTTGTTATCATCTTGAATATCAAGTGAAGCACATAATAATTAAAAAAATACATTTTATTAAGGTTTAGAGTTTACCTCTCGAATTTACACAGCATCTTAATTAAATTTTGATTATAATTTATTAACTAATTCCGGATTTTCGAACTCCCTCTCTTTCTATTAATATTTCGAGCAAAACTTTCATTACCTCTATTACCATTAAATGAATACAGCTGATTTTTATAAGAACTGAATTTGAATATAGCTTCAATTTCAAATAATGATGTCTTTAAAAGTGACAATAACCAATAATTAGAAACGTATATATTTCTTTAAGCAAACACTCCTAAATAAACAGGTATAATATTTGAAGTGGGGTGCTACTAAGAAATGACAGCTCATAAACTCTTTCCCAAAAGGATTTGAAAAAGCCGCTTGCAGATGCGAATATAATAAAACAACAATTGTTCATTTCACAGTTAGTTGCTTTGACTGGTAGTTTGTTGGTATAATGAACAAGGGTTTTACGAACAAAGGGTGTGGTCAAAGGGTTTGTAACCCCTTGACCATTTCTAAACCCTATAGAATTTTCCATGGTTATGAAGATTATTTGTAAAATTTTTTTTCTAAGTAGTTCCAACGTAATAATAATAATTTCTTGTTGCAAATTTGTGATATAAAAAATGGAAAAACTCATTTTGAGTAAATAAAAATGTATTATAATCGCTGTGGGGATATGGGTAAAACATCTACGTTCGCGGATAACGGCAACAAAAGCTCTACAGATTTATGTTTATCCGCGTTGACAGTCGAGTGAATATTTGCGCTTTGCGGTACTTCATCCGAGTAAAGGGGCATACGCATGTGCCGTACAAAAGGCGCAATCTTTTAAAACCCTTCCGTATATACAATACGCCCACGAAACGAAGACATTGTGAGAACAGACGTGTGACACCTGGCATGTGTTATATGAATAGACTGCATCATTGGTGTTAAATCGCTTGGTGTAAAAGAAGTGTCTATCTTAGAACAAGATCAAACAAGCACCTGACAAGGATTATCCAATGAAACAATCTCTAAATCTAACAAGAACATTATTATTGTTATTGTAAAAATGAATATATTAAATAACTATTCATGTCAAACGAAATATTTGGTTTACCGAAATTAGACAATTACCCAGACAACAATGGTCGATATCAGCATTTCACGCCAGTCTGTATCAAATTCCCTAGTGGATACACTAGGTTCAGCAGAAGGGGAGAGTTGAATTACACATTGAAATACGTAGCTATAGTGTTGTACTTCTATAACACTACACAGATTATAGTTGTGTGGAAGTAGAAATGCGCATGTGTGTGTCATGTTGGCTTTATCTAACCCCTAACCCTTTCGCCCTTGTTAAACATACAGGTGAACAGTTGCAGTTAAGCACCCATTACTCCCATTTAATCCGGCAGCTCTCTCGATTATAGTTGAAAAACAGCGCGCGCTATTTTTGGGACGACTGCAGTTCTACAAATTTCACGTGGCAGCGTCGAAAAAACAAATTTCCATTTCGTTTCATGTTGGAAACGTGCGCGTTTAGTTACTGTGTACGTTTAATTGTACTAACTATTTCGTAGGAAAACTGATAGATTTGACT